GTGTTGCCAAACGTTTGAGATTGTAAGGTTCCATGTGTGCTTGATAACTGAGACTACTCGGTCCTCCGTATGGCAAGTAAATATCAAAGATCGTCCTGACTGAGCGTTGACAAAGAATGAGGGGATTTTATATGAATGCAATCGGTTTTTACCGATGCAAAGACGCTACGAATCGATGCATCGCGAGTTCAACCCAAACGTACCGATGGGCCACTCTTTCGACCGGTGCACTCGCATCTTGAACGTTATGCCCGTGCACCGATGGCGAATCGTGAATTTAACATCTCTACTATCCACAGGATAGCGCTTGAGAAAGGGATTTACCTTAAATATGCTTAAATTCACTGCCGGCTCAAGAACAAACTAATGTGGCGCTGCTGCACTCACTGAAAACACACACAACACACACACACACACACACAACACAACACCACCACACACACACACACACACACACACACACACAGATATTAAGATGCCTGCGTTAGTGACATCTCTTCAATGGTATTCTTTAGAAATTCAATGTTTAACAGTGCAACAAATAATGCTACATTATCTGTAAACAATCACGATAAGATTGTTTACACTTCATCCATTTGTGGGATGTATAATTATCTGCACCCAAGTGTCCTTCTCTTGTCACAAGTCTCAGTATCTGTGACACATTTATCACCTTCACGCCACAAACATCATCAACAGTTCATTAACGTTTCATGAACTGCTTTCACAACACAGGTTGAGGCAAGATTTTAAAAGAAAATTGTTTTATAATCCCATGTGCAAATGTGTTTCTCCATGCAAACATGTGTGAGTGAGTACAACTGAACACTGTCACTATTTGGGCAATTAGTTGTTGTCAGGTTTCCAAGCAGATCCGGGGACCATCTGCTTCTCCTTGCAGGATGAGCAGAACACAGGACAACATGGTTTTTTCTCAGAGGGCCAGTTGCTCAACTCAAATGTGATTAAACTGCAGATGTATACAGCAAAGATGGGACACTGGGGATAGAGAGGGGGATGACAAGAGTCTTTTCAATATACACTCAACATCCTGAGTGTCCAAATACTACAGAGAATAGTGATCTGCATACAACGGAATCGGTTGTTGTATATTTTCTGGTGATTTGTTGCCACATGCATAAATTGTAATTGTGTGTGTGAAAGTATTTCTTCCAAACCTGATCTGGAAGCAAAATGCCTAATGTCACCAGCAGTGACACAAAGAAAAGGTATTTTGAGCAACATCGTGTTTGATTCCAGTCATAGAAACGGTCTCACTGTCTGTATATACTCATGCTTATTACATTTCCTTTGCACCAGTTTTGGCTGCTCTGAATCAATGTTTGATCTTTGTTCAGTCCTGAATCAATCGATGTCACAGTGCAATGACAGAAGCCTCACCTGCGTCCTCTCATCCTCTTTTTCATTCCCTTTCCTTGTCTGTCGCTGATCTTCTTAACACAAATCTGTATGCATGACTAGAAACTGGCTGCACTTCAAATGCCATGCAGCGAAACTCATCCTGTCCCCCGGCTTGTGGCGATCTTGTGCTCTGCTTGTCCTCCTGACATCAACATCTGCAGCGCTCTGAGCCCTCACAAGGCAAATTAGAGCAGAATGCGTGATGTAGACTTCTATTTCCCTCCGAGCAGCATGGTTTCTTGTTCTCTGGCAAAGAGGGAGAGCTCATAAGAACATAATTGGGCCGCTGACACTTTACTCAGGCTGCACTGTGAAGACACTCATTTTGCTTCTCTATAGGCACACTCAAGATTTTTTTGTTGGGTGTGCTTCCAAAGCCACAGGGGGCCCATGACCTCTGGCAGCCTCTGCATCCTGGTCACAGACCGTCAGCTCACTGCAAACATTCCTTCTGCTTTGCTTCAGTATGCGGTGAAGAAACAAGACTATCTGCTCGAAAACTAAAGGATCGTTTTCCATCTCACTTTTATGAGTAGAATATGCCAAAAACAGGTAGCAAATGGCAGACTTAGAGGAGGTTTGGCAGAGAGGAGGACTCTGTTTCTGCCTCTGATCTGAGGATATAAACATCCACTCTCTCTGGTCTGGCCTCCACTTGTGTGTGTGTGTGTGTGTGTGTGTGTGTGTGTGTGTGTGTGTGTGTGTGTGTGTGTGTGTGTGTGTGTGTGCGAGACAGTAACAGTGCCTGTATTTGTGCAGTGTGGCACTCTGCCATCCACCTTGCGCAGCCTTTTCTAGATGGACCCTGGGGAGCATTTTTAAAACATTCAGGCAAGCAATCTCCCTAAATCACGTTATTTATGCCTCTCTTGTTTGTGCTACCCACTCAAGGCTATCTTTGCTATATGATTTGAATTTCCTGGCATATACTGCTGTAAGGAATGGTAAACAGCGAAAATGCCTTTTGAAAGCTCCGACAAGAGCACAAATTGTTTGTATATAAAAGCTTTACAAATATCTGAGGGGGATTTTGATGTTTGTAGTCATTGCTCTATCAAACTGACTAAATGTTTAAGCACTTAAGCAGTGTGCAGTGAGGCAGCAATATGGGGAGGAATGTATTACTCACATTTATGTTTGAAGCTTACCCTTACTTCTTATCCTAGTTGAACCTAGTGATAATAACAACTCCAAATTATGTTTTTTATCTTAATTTCTTATTGCTCTATCTAACAGTCAGTTGTCTTGCTCTGCTTGGAGTATAATCTCTTTATTTTGTTTTATTTGTCTTGTTTTTTATTTATTTTTTATCTATTTTTCATTCGTTTGTATTTCTCAAATCTGTATTGTCTGATGTTTTGTCCAATTGTGGTTACATTGTCTTGTTGATGACATCCTTGAAAAAGAAAGGGTTCATCTCAAGTAGTTATTCCTCATATAAATGCACTTTTAAAAGGTCACTTCAACCAAATTAGAAAAAAGACGTGTAGCCTACGGCTAGTTGGATCTAGCCATGCAGATAGATTAGCTTTCATATTTGAAGATGTATTTCACTGAATTTGACAGTATTTCAATTCAAGGAACAAGCTACCAGCCTATATGCTTCTTCTTTTTGAACAGAGATTCAAACAGAGCCTTGGTAATTTTAACCAGTCATTGTAAGACATACTACATCCTGTAATTGTAGGTGTATTGATCCATTGCTGAGCTGCTCCGGTGTCAGGTAACAGTCATCACTACTGCACACTTTGAATTGTACCTCTTCAGTATCTCATTATGCTACATGATGCACACACACCTTATACTACATGTGAACGCAGCAGCTGTTAGACAAACACTGGAAATATGAGAAGCATGCATTGCTTGGTTCTCCTGCAGGTAGACCTTCCTCTTTTGTTGCATTTCATCCAGTATTTAAGGTCTGGCAGATGAGTGACATATTTGATTGAACCTCCATTTACCCTGTGAGTGTTCGCTGAGTATGCTTCTGTTAAGTGCCTGCAGCTTTTTGAGGTTCGTAGGCAGTTTATTTCCTTTCCTTCTCCTACGTTTCTCCACTCAGTTCTGTGGATGTTAAAAAGGAGCCTTACAGTGCTCCCTTCAGCCTCCATGCTGTAATCAACCCTAAGAACATTTTAGTGGCTGCATATAAGAATTAGACAATATATTCCTGCCAGCAAACAGAAACACTATTCCCAGGTCAGACATCAGCTCAGACAGGTGGCTGTGAGGATGAGAGTGAAACCTCTAATATCTCTGCCAGTGTCTCTTTGGTCCACCCCATTGACTGGCTGCTAGATTAATTTAAACCCCACCTATGGAGCATGAATGTGTGTAGCTACAATAAACACAATAAAAGAACCAGAGCGTTGTGTTTGTGTGGCTCTCCAAGGTCGATGGTTTATGATATGATATTTGTCTCTGAGGATAATGAGTTTGGTCTCGCTGAACGTGCTAATGATCTGCTGTGTTCAAGGATAATTAGTTTTGCTCTATGGCAGGTTTCATAGGGATCAGGATACATTTGCTATTGTCTCACAAATAGTTGTAACTGGGTCAAACATGTTGTACATGTTGCAAGCACGAGTAAGGCGGAATGTGATAGACCTGCAAAGCTTACTTTGTGTCCAGGATGGATACAAATGTACAAAACAAACAGAAATAATCAATACATAACTGCATGATATGATAATACACTCTTTGCCTTCTTAAATTGGAACATGTGGATGTGTTGTGAACGAAACAATTTCAAAGCTTACATTTTGCACTATTGACGACTAGCATAGTTTAGGCCTCATAATGACCACAGTATCAGGGAGTGATGAATACAATCCAAATGAATCTATGTCATAGCATTACACCCCGACAGCATTCCACAAACCAAATGCTCTGACTAGAGAAAACTAAATCTGTTATATGTGGCTTTTGCAGAAATATAGTTCGTTGGTCTGTATAATATAAACGTACCTGCCCATCTGCCTGCGCACCCGTTGTGCATTACCAGAGCCACAAGCTGCTAGCGTAACCGCTGTCAGTACTGGCAATAGCCATGTTCATTGTTTACGTTTATTATGACAATTTCAGAGCGGCTTTAGATGGATGCCTGGACAGAGGGGCTGTCAGCTAGCTATCATTTTATTGAAAAAAAAGTTTCAACACTGGGCTGTGTTTTTTTAGTTGGATACTAGTTTTTAAAATCTTGCTGGTTTCTCCAATGTTACCTACCCAAGCTTTAATGATGTCACTATTGATTGCTTTGTTTTCTTATATGCTTTCTTCTCCCCCTCTCTCTCTCGTTGCTCTCTTCTTTTTTCTCCCCTCTTTTCTTTCTTCTCATTTCTGCCCTGTTCTTTATATGAAAGCCTAACCTTGCAAGGTCATACGTAGTCCTCAAATGTTTGTGTTAAATTCCCCTGTATGTTATGACCTGCTGAGCTGTGCATTAAATCAGAAGTTGTGTCAGCCGGAGCAGTGGCCTAATGGGAGCAAAGGTTGGGGCACTTGTTTCCACAGTAGTGATGAAGAGTAGGAAACTCATTTTGCAAATCAATGTTGCTCTCTTTCCCTCTCTCTTGCAGTCTCAGCAGAAGTGCATTGTGATCTTTGCTTTGGTCTGCTGCTTCGCCGTGCTGGTGGCACTGATGTTCTCAGCGGTGGACTTTTGGGGTGACGATGAAGACGGGATCACAGAGGAGAACTGTAGCAGGAACTGCAGGTGAGTGCTGCAGAACAAAGGTCGTTCTGCAACATAGGGTTGGCCAAAAATAAGATTGTAGCTTTGTCCATTTATGCTACACAAGTAAAACATGACTAAACAAAACAGAAGAAAGACAGGAATAGAGGGGCTCTGTAAAGATGTATGTGGGCAAAATACTCTTTTCCAATTGTTCTCAATGGTTATGGCGTTGTTCAAAACACTACACAGGGTTGTGCTTGTGGGAGTGTGCCTACTTCGTGTCGTATCAACATTTAATGAGTTAAAGCTTTTCTTTCAAAATTGAATGAGGTTAAACTTTTTTTTCCAGATGACCGAGCATTTCTTTTGTTTTCTTGAGAAACTCAGCATTGGCACCCCTCCCTGTGCTTTTTCCCCCTTCAATACACCCAGTTAAGTTACGTCAAACCTTAACCAAGTAATACATTAAAATCAGTATTATATTTTTTGCTAAATCAAAATTATTTAAAAATATTTCCTTCCAAGTTGACTGAATGTAGGATAAACTTGGTGCAAAGCAGAAAAGCAAAGGACAAAGAGCTTTTCAAGTTATGGTCGACATTATTTGGGACTGTTTGTTGGTGTCCGTAGCATTTATGAATTAAACCCATATTTCATTCCCCATTTTGCCTTGGCCTTGCTCTCTGTGCATTTCTGTACTTTACCTGTTCACTCACTCCAACATCTTCCATTGCTAGAAACAATGATTGTTTTTTAGCTCCAGTTTCAAACCATAAATCAAGTCCAGTCTGTGACACTATGCAATCCAGCAGCTCTAAGCCACTGTCACTAGAAAGGAAAACTGCAATGTAGAGGCTGCAAACACCATTGCAGCAGTGCTTGCATTCATTTAGAGCAGGGGTGTCAAACTCATTTTCATCTCGGGCCACATTAGCATTATGGTTGCACTCAAAGGGCCGGTTGTAACTTTAAGACTATATAAAAATACATTTATAAATGTTTAATACATATAAAATACTGTACTATATTACAATAACTTCATAATTAACTACTTCTGAAAGTAGAAGTCTAGGGCAAAAAATGCAAGCGTCCTCAGTGAGAATGTCACAAAATGATTTAAAAAGAAAAGCCAAATTCTGGCAAAAAAGTCAAAAGTCAAAACTATTTTTTTTGAAAAATGTCAGATTCTGAGAAAAATGTCAAATTTGAGATGCATTGTGGAACATGTAGTTTATCAACGTGCTTCTGTAAATCTGCATGTAAGCGTATAATAAACATACTATATTCTTTGCAAGCTCTTGTGGGGCCACAGGAAATGAAGGCCTTGAGTTTGACACTCGTCTCAAAGTAAAAAATGGAACATGTCAAGTAGCCCCAATTCATAAAAAAATGTGCTTCCCCTAATCCTATTGTAGCCTCCCCCCTACCTGAAATGATTACCAGGCTCTTCTGATAGTTTCTTTAGCAAGATTCAAATGGATCCCCAGACAGAAACCCACTGCAGTTTGTTCTGGTGGTGAAACTGGCTGATCAGCAGTCATTTTCTCTGATACAGCAATCCTTGCTCTCCACTTCCTACTGGTTCCCCCCCATTAGACTTGTATCATCCAATTTACCATTCAGCTTTGAATTACTTCCCCCTCTCTGTCTCTTTCTTAATGTCCGTGTCCATCTACTCTCTTCCTCCTTTTCCCCAAATCAGCCATTTAATAACCTTTCAGGGAACTCTATCAGGAATCCCTCTCTCTTCCGCTTACAGCTGAAAGTGTAATGCAAACTTGTAAAGCTACATTTGGACTCCTCTCCTGTTACGAAGGCCTCCTAAAGCTCAGGGGTTGAATGGGAGATGAATATGAGGCTGAGGAAGGGAGGAAGGGTGAGCCAGATGGAGGGAGAAGAAAAAGAGAAAATATTTTTGGGTTGGAATGAATGTGAAATGAACAGATTCATCAGCTTTTATGGGCAGTTCAATACTCAAACTCATTACAGAAATGTGTAGTGACATTCTTTCCCAATTTGCACTCTTTTTTATATCCAATTGCCTTAATTATAAAGTTTTACTGTGACATGTATCATTATGAAAGAGCTGAAACGCGTGCAACTGTAACATGATTGATGATTTAGTTAAAATATTTGGTTCAAAGCAAGTTCCAGTACGTAATGGGAAAAGTGATGGATTACTATGTGACTATGAGAGGCATTTATAATGGGGTTCACTGAGGCTTACTCGTGCTCAATTAAGTTCCTTAAGGTACAGGTATTCATCAAAGAAATGCATGTAAAGCCCTTCTGAGTCTGTATTCAACCTTGAATCGACAAGGTTGAAAATGATCAAGAGATTAACTTACAAATAGAATTCATAACTATTTCTTCTTCATCTTCACACAGCAGGCTGAGCTTCTCTCTTGCCTTGCTTTGATGCCATTAAAACACTCTCTCTGAGCCTCTTAGCTGCAATGACTCAGCAGTTGTTTTGTGTTTGTAAAGTTGTAATTCAGACATGTCTCATGCAGCTGGTTGTTTTGTTATGCAGATTTCCCTTTCATCTATTTGTTCCTGCATAATAAGCAGTGCTAATGCTTGCATCTCAGGGACAGGAGACCTGGGGTTGCCTGCTGCTATTGCATCTGAATTAACACATTTCCCAGTGATGCAGATACATTATGATGCACACTTCATGTAATTGTATGTTAATACAATCAGAACCTCAATTTGATTCATATTCCATCTGATGAACAACAACCTCAGCTATGGTTGCAGTAAAACAGGATTTCTCTAGGCTTCACAAGACTGTCTGTTGCTTTGTTGTTGGAGCAAAGCAGTCGCAGGTCCATCTGACAGTCTGATGAATTGTGCAATTGTGTGTAATTGCCTGGCGTCAGATAGATAATAAGCAGGTTAGTATTGATTTGAAGTTGCCTTGTGGAAATGCTGAAACAACAGAAAAGCCCAGTTGCTGCATCGCGAAAATGTTGTGACGCTTTAAGACAGATCATTTTGCATTGCAGTTTAAATATTATATTTCTTCCACTATTGAGCAAAGGGAACTTATGAATTAAAAGTGTTGAAAGAACAATCAATGATTCAGTAATGCATAAATATTTACCAAAGATTTAAAAGTGTGTTATTTAATAAAAAAAGAGTACCAACAAGCATTTAATTTATCTTAATTTCCTTAATCAACTCGTTAATGCTTTTAATTCGGAGTCTCCAAGAACCACTTTGATTGATCAGCAGCATTGAATTTAAAGCGAGAACCACAAAGAACGACTTTGCTTACAAAAACTCTGCAGTGGTGCACAAAAATAAGATTGCAGTTTGGGGGGGTGGTCAGAATTGATGAACATTTTTTTCTGGAAACTCAAATGTTAGGACTTGTGGTGAATGCAAACTAGTGGCCATCGATCAAAATGTCAGGAACATGACAGCAGAGGAGACAGACACGGAACAACGTAATATGCTAAGTACTGGCACTCTACATTAATTTGCATGAGAAACAGAGAATAATGGTTAAAAGCAATTTAAATGTACTGTCTCAAGATCAGATAATGTATTGAAATCAACATATACATTGTGTGTACAATGACGACAGTGTTCTGGTTGTACCTGATGAAACACTAGACTTGGCATTTACCTTTAAAATGGACAGCATGCAGGGAGCAGTGCAGCAGAGGCTCCTGATGCACATATGAATGTCCTGGCTGCTCACCCAGAGCTCAGGGCAGCTCAGGAGAGGCTGGATAATTTATATCAGATGTCAGGCGCTGACACTGCCACATCCCATGCTGTTACACTAAGTGTGGTGCGGCAGGCACTCTGGATCCCAAGCATTACAGTACAGTATCCTAATCCTGATCTTTTTGTTTAGTCGATGAACTTGCATCAGCCATGACATCTCTGTAAAGGCTTGAAATCGGTTATTATTTAAATCATCAGGAGGGGAGTTCATCTTTTGATCCAACTGTTCAGACACTCTCTGTCTCAAGTGCGCACACGCACGCACGCACGCACGCACGCACGCACGCACGCACGCACGCACGCACGCACGCACACACACACACACACACACACACACACCCCCACACCATGAACTTTACACCACTTACTGTAAGTATTGGATGCAGGGAATGAATAACACCCATGAGTGCGCAGATGGTTAACAATGGAGGAGACCAGCATCGACATCACAGACTGCATAAATCGATGAATCCCTCGCAGGCAGAGAAGACTACCTCCCTCTTTTTCCCACTATTGATACAAAAGCCTCTCTGTTTTTTTAAACGACCATTCATCAAACCTCCCGGCCATTACAGCTGACTGAGATTTCTTTTCAAATAAGATTACCAGTCCTCCTCCTGCATCTGTTTACCATCCATCCTTGTTTTGTGAGTTGTTTGCTGTCCCAGTTTTGCCGTCATTATTGAACAAAGGAGAGCACACTGTGTGATGTGAACGTTAATCTTCTCTATCATCAGTCCGCTCTATTGGTTTGTTTGTGTCTTGTTGCACTCCTTTTTCTGTTTTTCTCAGTCCAGTTGTCAAGTGGGTGAATATCAACCCTCAGTAATAGAAAAGCTAACTCTTCTTGAGATTCTCGCAAACTCTGCTATAAATATGTCAATTCCGTGAAGCGTTTTGAGTGTGAGTCCTGCAGTGTGATCCTTGGCCACTTTCCCAAAGCTGACTAAGGTTTACTTTATACAGGAATACATTTTCAAGCTGAGTACTGGCAGCTGGCCCTTCAATATGATGATGCCTGTGCATTATCACCTGCAGCTCCTGCGCTCGCCTGTGTGCCCTTGAGTGAAGCACTCGATAGACCCCGAGCTGTCAAACCTTAGCTGACCCTGAGCTCTGACAGGTCTAACTTCAGTTTGGTGCTACAGAGTCTTCCAGGAAGTCTGCCAGCACTGACTCTTATATGTTTTACAGCCAGAAATAGAAAACAAAGTGTATAAAAAGTCTACGACATGAACCATCATAGTGCTGAAGAGTCTTCTGGTGTGTAATGAGCCACATATCTCCATGTTTTATCAACAGCTTGTTCTGTGGCCCCCTCAGATTGCCCAAAACCTTTTTTTACTGCTTGAAGATTATATAAATGTTACTTGAACCTTGACAGATTGCAGGTTACATTACAATAGACGTCCATTCTAATTGTACTGTTTTGTGATGCATCATAAGTTAGAGATTAAATAAAGCACTCATTTGTTTTGCCACGTTTTATGGTTTGCAGAACATGACTTATTCATTTGACCAACCATTAAACATTTATTGCACATTCAGTCATAAAATCTATCCATGTCTGAACTGTTAATGGTTGTAAAGTGTAGTGTTGATCAGATTAAAAATAATAATAAAGTCATGTTTAAAAGGGCTCCTCAGGTAGACGACTGTGGTTCTAACTTCACTTCTACCATTCACACTTAATAAATGAATGAATTATTAGAATAGAGTATATTATAAACGAGGTACCTCATAACTGCATGCTCTACCTGAACCTAGTCTGCAGTATATTTTCCAAATGCTTCTTATAGAATTCATGGAATTTAGTCCAGACGCTCAGATAGTTACTTGGAAAACATTTTATACAGAAATGTAATCAAGCACAGCGATGTAGAATTTATATCCGAGTTCTCCCTCACTGAGCATCCTCTCCCCATTTATGTTTTCTTATAAAACCAAGTAAGTAGAAATCAATGTCTGAGCCGGATCCAGAGAGAATTGGGTGAGCGAGCGTTGGAGCTTGATAATAGCCTGGTTCTGTTTGGCTGCAGATCTGGGGCTGTCACGGCTAATTCAATCTGTTGTCTCCAGAGCTAATGCCCCTGTAGCTCCCAGACATCCTGTTGGAGTTAAACTGGAACTGAAGATTCAATAAAGGGACCTCGGAGTCATTTTAAGATGGATACATTTACATAACACCTTGGCAAAAAGGTGCTGGGATGTTCACAGTAATATATACAATCGCAAGACAAATATCACAAGAACATTTTCCACATAATTTATTCCTATGGCGCTGACAGTTGTATACATTTTCTGCATGCAATCCACTGAATCTGTCATACAGTCCATTGCTATTGCCTCAGTATATAAATGCTTGTTGCAAGTACAGTATATTAGACTACTGCAGACTGCTGACGATTACATTAAAAAGCATCATGTGATAGCGCAGGCAGAGTGGTGAATATGGGGAACCAACAAGAATACAGAAAAAAATGAGAGAAAAAATCCCTGACGTAATTGAATCTGCAATGCTGACAGCATCACACTTCAATTATTCTCACCCCCTGCCTGGGGCAACCTGTACAATATTTTATGATGCTTGAAGGAATCTGAAGGCATGTGTTGTCGAGATATCTTGATAAATCTCATTAGGCTAACGATCCAGAGGAAGGGCGGTGTTAGTTAATTTGTCAGTAGTAAGAAGGGAGGGTTGTAATCTCCAATCAGTTGCACCAAAGCTCGTAAAAATTCTGCTAGTAATGCAAACCGATAATTGCTTTGTGAAAAGACTCTGACATTCATTTCCTCAGCACTTCTCTATTAACAGGTCTCTATGGCTCGGCCTAATGAGGTCTTTCTGCAGCTTTTTCTTATTGAAGGTCCAAAGCCTCTTCTTTACTCGTTTTTTTCTGTGTTTCTTTTCCACAGAGTGGTGCTTGTGGAGAACATCCCGGAAGACATCTCTTTCTTAGAAAATGGTACATCCCACCTCCCCCTCTCAGAGGGGCTGTACAGCTTACTGGACCGAGCCATCCGAGCCGTAGAGATCGTTTCCCCGCTGTGGCTCCTCAACTCCTCCGATTATGAATCCAGCTTCCAGCCTGCTGCCAGACAGGTAACACCAGAGCAAGTCTACAGAGACTAGACTCTGCAGAAGATCTTTTCTCAGTATCCTCTTTGTGTCCTTGCCTCCTTTACACAATGATCAGTGGCAAGTATAGTACTACTTTTCTTGGTTTTGATAAAAGCTTATTTAAAAGAAAAACTAGCAGCTACATTTGTCAAATAACTGAAGGGGGAGTCAACATTTCGATATTGTCCATAACCTATGTGTAAAGTAGCATTTAATGTTGAAGTAAAGTAAAGTAAAATTGTACTTCAGCACCTATAATAATGAATGTAAAGTGCGAAGATTGCATTAAGCATTAAGCTGTCCAACATTGTGGCTTTTAGGTTTTATCTCCACCCCGGCTCATTAGGCACACTGCCCAGCTGACACATCATCTTTTTATCTTCAAATTACATTAAAGTAGAAATGGTTTTCTGCTTCAGACAAATTAAATAGTAAAGTCAAAGAAGACCAAAATGACAGAATGAGTTATATGTGATGAGACACAAATGATCACTAGAGCAGGAAATCAATAAGTGTCTCTGTAGAGTTGTAGGCCCGACTTGCTCGTAAAATAGTCTGGGCTGTTTTCAGGCTGCTTTAAGGGAGCTATTCATTTTGAAATTGAAGTGGATGTGTGTTATTGAGAGTTACCAGGCTCTGCACACACACACACACACACACACACACACACGCACACACACACGCACACACACACGCACACACACACGCACACACACACGCACACACACACACACACACACACACGCACACAAACACGCACACACACACGCACACACACACGCACACACACACGCACACACACACGCACACACACAGAGATGTGTTTTACAGAACAGAGCATGTCAGGACTAATGAAAGCCTGGCTGTTGATTGGAAAGTAATATTTCCTTTCTGAGGCCTCGGGCAGAGAGAGATAATGGCCTTTCCGCCTGCAGCACTCTGCAAAAAGCTGCCACAAGATACAACTCATTGGGACCGGAAAATATAATATATTGTAAAGGCAATGCTAGAAGACATAGACGTGGAGTAGCTCTCGTGGCCGATGCGAGTCGTTCCTGCAGAACTATTTTAAGGTGTGATGACTCAACCTAAAAGTTTAGCTGTCGTTAACTTTCACCTCAAATCATAAAAGTTTAAAAATTCAAGATATTCCTGAACTGTGCTGTGCAATGCATGAGCATCTCACACGATTATACTGACTATCTGCAAAGATATGAAGGGTGCTTTGCTTCACTCCTGTTAAACTCAGACTACTTTGACTGTAACGGTTTTTTGCAACATTGTCTGCGTTAAAGCCTGAAAACAAGTCTACTAACAATCACTAAGCTAAAATGCAAGACATTCTCTTGGAATAAATACAAGTTAATGTGTGTATATCACAACATGGGGTAGGGTTATATTGTAATCTCTAAACAGGCACCAGTGGTTTAGTATTATATGTCATAAAAAACAGAGCCTATACACAGTTTATAGAGAATAATTTGTAGAGATATTCTGGGTTGTAAGTATGTTTAAAGCCTCAAGAACACTGTATCCCACCTTACAGCAATAGTAATTTCCCTTGGAAAGTATACTTCATAAAAACAGCATCTATGTGACTTAAGAAATCTGGTAGCAGTGATTTATATACTGTACATAGTTTAATGACTTATTTTTTTATTCAATGTTCTCCAGTAGTAAAAAGTCTATTTTTGGGGCTATTAGGAATCACCCCAGGGAGCTGAAGGAACACAAAAAAGTGTCACCCACAAATATTTATACTTGATCAAAACAAAAAAGAAACCAGGCTTTGTTGGCTGCAGACAAAGGACGCCTAATCAACTGGCACATATTAGAGACAATCTAAGCAATATACAAGAATCTTGTCTGAATACAAAGTGCATGGATTTCACGTGGCAGCAGATGATTTATGGTGTGTTCCCCTCAGGGCAGGGCTCTGCTCTCCAAGCTGCAGGGCCTGAAAGCTCGAGGCATCCAGCTGAAGATCTCCAGCGGGATGATCGACTCCTCTGAGCTCGGGATGCTCGCCAACCACTGTAATATACATTCTGCCTGTCTGTGTTCAAACATGCTGCAGTTTACAGTAGCTCGGTCTCTTTACTCTTACTATTTGTTCTGCTCATCTTTTCTTTATGTCACTCTCTTTCTACCTTTCTGTCTTTGTGTTTAATTGTTGTATTGATTCTGTTTCCGCCTGATCGGCTTCAATCTTTCTCTTTGTCTCACATGTAACTTTTTTCACTTTAATCTTTCTTAAAGAGGATATATTCTGCTCACTTTCAGGTTCATATTAGTAATCTGTGCCTCTACTGTGACATGTTTCCACGCTTTAATGTTCAAAAAGCTCTTTATTTTTCTCATACTGCCTGTGCTGCAGCACCTCTTTTCACCCTCTCTCTGAAACCAGAGCCCAGGCTGCTCTGATTGGTTAGTTGGCCGGCCCTCTTGTGATTGGTCAACCGCTTAGAGATGTCCCGCCGCTTAGCCTATCACCTATAATGTGTTAGAGCGCTAGCCAATTGAAGCAGATGTTACATAGTGAAGTCATTATGTTAGAACAGTAAACACAGGAGTCTGTCCTTTGCTTATCTCTTTTCTCTCTCTCACTCTCCACTAACCCTAACCCTAACCCTTACTAGATGCTGAAGTCCACTATGTGAACACGACCGCGCTGATCAGAGGCAGCATCCTCTCTTCCTTCTGGGTGGTGGACAGGAAGCATTTCTACATCGGCAGCTCCAGCATGGACTGGAGATCCCTTGCCACAGTATTGATCACACAACACACACAAAACACTAACTCGTACCTGAACATATGCAAACACACAAATAAACATATAACAATAAATACTTAAAGATATGTGGAAGAACATGTCACATCATAATCTCAGTTATTAAGATGCAAATTGTTATATTTACAAATCTCTCAATCTCTCAATTTCAATTCTCTGTTGTCATTTGGTATCCAACGCATAAACATGAGATTTAATTGCAAAACAGGCTCTGTATCCCCTAATGTAAATTGCTTAGAAAATGTTCTACTGGCTCAGAATAAATATATATATATATATATAATGTATTTGATGTCTCTAGTCCTCTAATGCAAAAAGCGTTCCCTCCTGAAAACAACATGTCATGATTTCCTGTTAATTAACTTAAATGACACAAGATATTTATATATCTTTCAACACATGTAATATAACTCTTCTACTTTAAATAATAACTTAAAATCAGTGTTTTCAGGAGACTAAAGGATGAGGTTATATGTAAGGTTATATGTCAGACTCTTCAAAAGTCATAGGTAGTGGGGGGTGAGGGCGTTTAGTGGGGGCAGCCAAGGTGAGGTGATGCAAAAATAGAACAGCCATTTTTTCTTTCATCTTCTAGCTTCAAAGCTGAGAATCTTGCATGGTTTATTAAAGCGGGGACCCATTTCTTAAGCGTTTGTATCTATCTTCAGACACCTTGAGATACAAATGGCACTCTGCATGTTAGTGTGTTTTGTGGGGGATATTATAGGTTGTATCAAAGAAGACATTCGTAAATGGGATCGAAGCTTTGTTTAGGAATACTTACATCATGAAAACAAGGAAGGGAGAGAAAATATGTGCAAGCTGAAAAGCTGAAATTGACAAGTGAGTCGTTGAAATGAAAATGTAACAGAACAAAGAAAGAAAAGTGTGAATAAAGAGACAGTAAGATCTTCTATTACCCTGCTGATGTTGTGAAGATGGGCTATAATTGGATGACAGTTGGCAAGAGGAAGGAGCCATGAGAGTGTTGGATAGATGTATAAAAGTGTTTAAAAAAGATAGGTTAAGCGAGATTACTTGGAAAGAAGGAAATCTGGTGTTGACATTGTGATGCACATCATTTTGTTGATCCTGAAAGTAATGACGATAATGTTCAGGATCATAACAAACATACTGATGTGAATGTTGGCTGTCTTCATTAATGATCTAACAGAGACTGTGTTTGCTCTCCAGAGGAAGGAGCTGGGGGTGTTGGTGTACGACTGCAGCTGTCTGGCTCTGGACCTCCACCGAGTGTTCAACCTCTACTGGGGGCTCCAGTACAGAGACTTCATCCCCTCCTTCTGGTCCAAGCGCCTCTTTGCCCTTTTCAACAGGGACGAACCGCTGGAGCTCACTCTGAACAATACAAAGGCTCAAGCCTACGTCTCGGTAAGTGACTGATTTCAATGTCGTTTTTAGATTGGATAACTCTCAGCCACTGTCATTGAGATTTAGGGTTTGATTTATTTTCATCCAGGATTAAAATGATAAAATATGTGTTTTAATATGTTGTTATGTATACTCTGATTAAAAAATTTGCACAAGGTTTCACCTTAAAATTCATTTTACATTTTTGAATAAACCAAAAGTTCTGTGGGTGAAAAAGTAGGATGTTGGAAGCAGCCATCGTTAACAAAATGTTTTTCACCTGTGTTTCCTGTCAATACAAGTTAGATGTTTGCTGTGAATTGCTGTGTATTTCGGCGTTTGTTAGGATACTAAAACTATAGTGCTGTCTATAGTCATTAGGAAGAGATTTCGGAAAGAAAACACACCTGTGTAAACACCCACACAGGTGTTTTGAGTCACTGATTGATTAGACCTCAGATAAGGTTGCCAGAATGGAAATTAGGCAACGTGACGTCAACATTATGAATGATAAAGGTATATTAATTCAGACATCAAATGGACATGGGTAATATTGTTCACTGATGTCCTTTGCCTTAAAGTACTTAAAACGTAACTTTTTGCTTCATTCCCAGAATTTGTTAAAGTAATGGGGTTGAAAAACGCTTTGCATTCACGCTCGAAAACACATATTATGGCTTTCTTGCTCTAACTTTAAGTACAGCACACTCAATTATTCCCATCTCCAGTCGAAGTGACAGTTAGTTCAATGTTTGATGCTGAGTGTCTCTGCAGGACGCTGCGTCTTTCAGTGTCATCCGATTTCTAGAGATGATTGATGGGGATGTCATCCTACCTGCAGCAAATGTGGCTGAGCTGTCCGTCCCTAAAGATGAATATCAACACAAAAAAAGCGCATACAAAGTACACACTTAAACATGTAGAAGTGTCTGTCAGCAAGAATTCAAAGTGAAACTTCAAGACATGAGCACTGACAAACACCAACACACACACATAAAACAAAGAAAGACAATCAAATTTGTGTAATTCTGGTAAACGATAAAAATGATGAGAGCTGAATTGGTTATTTGAATGAAAACAGTTCTGAAAACTCTGCATATTATTAAGATTTCCCTCTGAGTCACTGTGGTAATAAACATCTATTTACCAATGCTTTGACAATTGTTCCTCTTTTTAGCAGATAGTCACTGATTGTGCATCCTCTGATCCTGCAATGCTAACACTACTTGTCTTTGCATGACTTCTTCTCTGGCGACAGAGCTCCCCAGATGTTTTCATCCCCAAACATCGTAGCAATGATCTTGAAGCCATTTCAAGGGTCATCCAGGAGGCCCGCCAATTCATATATATCTCCATCATAGATTACCTGCCCCTCCTGAGCCGCAACACTCAAAGGTAAGAACCACTTTTTAATTTCTTTGGATGGGCTCTTATCATTAAAAAATGCTATGCTTTGCTTTGGTTCAAGTGATTTAAAGTCTTTGTTTGTTCCTGTGCCAAGTTACTGGTCTCGTATCGACGCTCTTATCCGGGAGGCTCTGATCCTGAGGAAGGTCCGGGTTCGTCTGCTGATAAGTTGCTGGGAAAAGACTCAACCACTTAGCTTTAACTTCCTCTGGTCCTTGAGGAGTCTGTGCATGGATCAGGCCAACTGCTCAATGGAAGTTGTAAGTACAAGCCAACATCGTATTTTCAACTCTACAGATATGCTTTATCGATGCTAACTGCACAACTGTCCATGTGTATCTGTGTGTGCAGAAGTTCTTCAACCCCAGAGTGCAGAGCGATGGCAGTCTCCAGGGAATAAACCACAACAGGTTTATGGTGACAGATAGAGCCATTTATTTAGGTGAGCTCATCGACGACTCAACTTTATGACTCTGTCCTACATGCTCCTGCTCACCGCAAGCACACAGCAAATTGTGTTTTTTTCAGCTTGTTGAGGTTATGCATTGATCTCGAGTGGTTAGGATAGCCCATCTGTCAGGGTTAAGGACCTGAACAAACCGAGGTCTGTATATTGCAAAATATAGACGCCTCAATAATCTAGTGCTTGAATGTTTAGCATGGTGGACCTTGCAAAGAAAAAAACGAGATTCATCATATTGCCCCATTCCAGTTTTGTATAAACTAAGCTAATCACCTCCTGGTTCCAGCTCTGTACTTAACACACAAAACATGAAAGAGAGGTTCACTTTCACATAATCTCAACCGTCTAACTCAAAAAGAAAGAAAAGTATTTCACTAAAAGGCCAATGATGACTATAAAAGTCTATCTTCAATGGTAGTATATTTTCATTTATCCAATGGCACTACATGACAATGTTTAAAAAACCTAATTCAGGTCATCTTGGTATGTTTTCTTTTGCCTTATTTGTTGTGCTACAAGGTGTTTTTGATACTGCAGCAACTAATATGTTTCTTGCTTGGTGTCCTGACAGGTAACCTGGACTGGTTGGGGAATGAGTTTACCTTTAACACTGGAGTAGGCTTGGTGATCAGTCAGCCAGAGGGCATCGAGGAGAGGAACTCTACAGTGGTGGAGCAGCTACGGGCTGCATTCGAGAGGGACTGGTTTTCTCGTTACACCCACTCACTGCAGGCCAACAAGACGAACATCTGCAGCAAACAGCAGATCAACAGGCTTGTGCAGGACAAACTTGGCCACCTGGACAATGCACCAATGCCTATCAGCGTAGACCTGCATGATAACAGACCTGCACCAATTAGACACAAACACCAAGATGATGGACAGGCCCATGTTAAAACAAAGCACCATGACGACAGACTTAGCAAAATTGCTCTGCAAGGCAAGGCCGATGGGCTGGAGCCAATTATAGACAGTTACCAAGAGAGGGGACAAGTCAAAATGAGCCATGACCTTGACAGCAGACAGGTTCAAATCAAAGGTAATCACCGAGACAATCCAATGGATCCGCCCACTCAGTCAGCTGAGAGCAGCGGCAGCAGAGAGATCTTAAACGGGTCGCTGTGACCGAGGAGCTTAATGAGAACTACTCTCTTCCAGGTACAATGGACTGGATCTTTGTAGCAATTTGTTGTTGCCATTTTGAAAAACGTTGAAGATATTTAAGTGATATTTGGTTTGAAGGACTTGATCAAGAACTCAGGAAGGGAAGTATACTCTGATGCAATCTGGCACTTTTGAGAGATTTTTTAAGAATGAAACCAAAACATTTTGGTTGAGAAGAAACACTGGATAATACAGATATACAAACATACAGCTTTGCTTCTTATTTAATCTTTCTCCTCTCCTTGTTGAGATCTCTCAAGCCAAGGAAACAGATTGAATCTTTCTGATTGCCTAATTATTATATGTCACTTTAGATGTTTGTGGCAGTCATTATTTATCACCCTTTAAAAGGGGAAAAGACGCCTGCATGAATATGCAGAGATTGGAAGCAGTGTAGCTACAATAGCTACATTTAGCATTTAGGAACACTCCAAAGCCATGGAAGATTTATACACACCTTCACATGTTGTGTATCTATTATCACCTCTTAATTCTGTTTGTGTAGCTCCAGCAGTATTCTGAATAAGTTGCTGTGCATTTAAATTGTTACTTCTAAAACTGATAACCTATTTATGAGTTATTCGAACGAAGCAACCTGAAACCATCTGTTCAGTAATGGGTTCAGATGCTCTAATGTCAAATGATATGAATACAAAACAACCCTGTGTGTATATGTTAACACAGATCCCAGTCATATTTTATATTTCATTTGTCGCACTAACTTTCTGATTTTAATTCCATTATTCCTGGAATTGAGCCCATAACTCATTTTGAGTTCTGACCCAGAGTTGAGAGGCTGGGGCTCTAAAGGAATTGATCACATCAGGATCCCCATGATTTATCCTCAATAACAGAAGCACTAAAACACAGTACAGACAGCTGGTTCAACCCAGGACTTGAGGCGCCGTATATCTCTGAATAGCAGGTTGGTGTAAGACAAATGTTTTATTTTAAGGGCGGTAATATTGAATTGGATGATGGACATATTCTACTCCATAACACCAAATATACTAAGGTGTGTATTTTCAATCAGACGCTGCCAGTGAAAAACGACAGCCTTCATTGGTTTTTGTGAAAGGCAGATGTTTTCCCCAGGAGGAAGATGAGCTATAGATCTGAAAGGCTTCTTATAATCATTTAAGTTACCAAATATAAATCCTAGGAAAAGAAGATAGATCGAATGGGTATCTACTCTGCCGAATGCAATGGGATTTATTGAACAAATAAAGGAGCAGGTAGAAGAAGGGCCAGAGGGTCTCTGCTGTCCAATCAATACAGTGCATTTTGAACAGAGCCTGACAGTTGCAGTTGCTGTCCTTTAATTTCAAGGACACTGTTACTTGTCTCCTCTGACTGATGTATTATTACCTTTACCGTGTGGAGGTAAAGGAAAAACGTAATGAGAGAACACTTTTCAATGAAAGCTGGTAGCAGCTTTTAATTGCATTTTTTAAATGTCTAATACCTTTACACACTCTTTGTGGCACTTTTTGCAACAATGCTTTTTTATGTTGCTAGAACATTTGTGTACTTCCAAAGCCATTAATCAAGGAAACATTTCCAGAAAGATAGTGATGTTTGATGAGAAATATGCTGAACCTGATGCTCAGAGCTTTAACGTGAAAGCATGAGGTGAAATGAGTGTGTCTTTTGAAATAACTTATAACAGGAATAATTGTTGTATACTTTTAAGGAAACATGTTAATTTCCAGGTTCACATTATATTTTCAGTTCCTAAATGAGCCAAATCTGAATAGCTTGTTGAATCCCATGTTTTTAAGCTTGTAATTACACCAGATACCCAAATGTATGTGCACAAGAACTGCAAAAGTGAGGCTTTTATGTTATGTCCCCTTTAATTCCGCCACAAAACTGAAGTTTTTACAACAGAATGCATAAAAGGTTTGGCTGTAAGAATTATATATTGCACCATTGTTGTTGGATATCAGAAAACACACCAATAGACTATTTAAATCCGGTCATGATGGATAACTTCTGCCATCTAGAGGCTGTCTTGAGAAAAACATTTCTTACTTTCTTAACCAAAGTATTTTTAACAACTGCTGTCTATATGCCACTTCTTATGAAGCGTATAAACGGCAGCAGAGGTTTTTCCTGCACATTTTTTAACAATAATGATGTTGATAACTACAATTTATTGGTTTGAGGTTATCAGAAGATCTTTTTTAAAACACACAAATTGTAGCTTGGAAGTAAATGTCTGATCAAAAATAATTTAATGAATGCAATAGGTACATGTTAAACGATAACATGCATAAAACAAAACACAACTTCCCTTGCTTCTGTGTTTGCACGTTTTCTCTTTCTGTATTCATTCATCAACTGTTTCATGACTTGTATATGAACCAAGCACTCTCATCTGTTTCATTTGTAGAACAGCTTCTCCATATAGAGTGAGTAGAGCTTGATGAGTATTATCTGAATAACAACATATTGTCTTGCAAAGCATTACATCAACACACTGTGCTGCTTGACAGCTGGTCTGGAGTCAGATTCAGTTTACGCTGCTATTATAGTATTGTTGCACAGGGGGCCGGAATGCTGCTAATTCACCCTGTACACCCGCTTTTAGTTTACATTTTATTTTCAAGCTATTTTGATAATTAAAACATTGAATATTTTCCAGTTAGCAAAGGAACACAACTCAACCTTTAATCAGCAACTGTTTACAATCTGCTACTGCTACAAAAATAATAGGAAGGTTTCCGTAACACACTTTTAAAAAACTGAGCAATATTTGCTGAATACCTTGTGAAATATACAGGATAGATGGATGAATATTCTGGATGGTTTTTAAGGTAGCTGCCAAGTGTTACAGACTGACATACTAACTGTCTGGGACAATTTAAATGTTCACTGTTATACCTTTATTCTATTGAATTGTTTCGGCATGACTGCTGCTTGCATGCCCTGCCTTTATGAACTGTGCACAGAAGCTATGAGTCTTTTTAGAGATAATAATGATCATAATGAAAGCATATATACCTTTAAAAAACAAAACAACAGAAGGAATGTATATTTATTAAACACTCTTGATAATGCAAACTACTGAATTATATGATCGCTATGTTTTTACTCTTAATAAAAAAAATGTATACTCTAAGGTTTTTATGTGTGGGTGTGTTTGTGCTTAGTGTAAGTGATGTTTGTTTCCTTAACACAAAGGCTGTTAATTAAAGCAGGATGGCTTACCTCAGAAGTTAATCCTTACCGCACTGTGGCTGTCAGTCAGGCCCTGCGTAACCCTAATGGACCATTCCCTTAACCCAACTCACTGAAAGGTAAAAGTGGCACAGACATTTTAAATGCTGTATTTCAATCCACACATATAAATCAAGATACAAACACAAGGCAACGTGTTGCTGATATGTATCAAATGGTTATATGTTTTTGTAAAAATGTGATCTGTAACTCATCCTCAGTGCATCCAAATGACACCTGTTTTTTTTTTTTTTATGGAATAAATTCAATGTTCAACCATTTCAGACATACAAGTTCAACATAGTGAATTTAAATAACATAAAATATATATATTTTAAACACGATGATAATTGAAACAATTTATAACATAATACCTGGATAAATAAACTCCATAAACATAAACTTGTAGGAAAATTATGCATTATCTTTTCAATATTTTCATAATATTTCTTCATAGTATAACGATATTGTTCCTTTTTTAGTAAATATAAGTGCAGAGGTGGAAGAAGTACTGAGACCGTGTTTTAAGGTCAATTCTTAGTACTCATTATGCAGATTGGCCCTTTTCAGAACAATATATATAATATGTTTTAATTATTACATTACACTGTTAGACACTTTTACCCAAAGGGACTTACTAAATACTGTGGGCAATACCCACAGGAGCAATTTGGGGTGAAGTGTCTTGCCCAGGGACACAATGACATGCTGACTGCAGTGGGACTCGAACCTGCTTTCCTCTGATTCGAAGATCAGCGCACTAAACCACTGCGCCAAACTCCTCCCTATAATTATAATTTCTTGTTGCATTTCATTGGTATCAGAGCTTATAAAGGTGCAGGCGTAACTAACGTGTTGACTATATTTTACATTATTAATCAAAATCTGCAAAGCAAGAAACGGTGGAGTGGAGTAAAAGTAAACCATTTACCTATTGTAGTAGGGTAGAAGTATAAAATATTAAAACATTGAAATAATAATTAATAATAATTACAAATTCCTCAAAATTGTAATTGAGTAAATGCTTCAAACATTTGTATTGAGAAGAAGCATACAGTTGTAAGCAATAGTACATACTTCTTTGGGGTGGCAATCATGCTTCCCTTTTTCAACATAGAAGACAAACAGAACAGCCAACAAGGAATAATTAAGAAAATAACATAATTTGACAGGAATACCATACTTAATGACATACAAAGTCATAGTGGGAAAGAACAAAATAGTAGCCTATATATAATACAAATAAATAAACTTAAAGGATGTACTTTAGTAAATGTACTTTCTCTACACACCACTGTAAGTGTTTAATGTTAGGGTCACACAATCATACGTGTCTGGGCTTGAGCACCAACGGACTGACGTAACGGTTACCTTAGCAACCGATTAAGCGAGACCTCACCAGTCCGGGCTTCAGATTCATGAGTGCGCTTTTCTTCCTGGAGACCGTCCCGTCGAGAGAGAGGGCAAAACAGCCCCTGCGACGCTCAGAGGAGACTCCTTCATGAAGAACAATACACCAGATGTCTTTTTCCACCATTTCGGGTTGTGTTTCTTCGTGCTGTAGCGGAGCGGGACGCGCAGGACTGACGAACATCACCGGGCTGGTGTTGTTGTTTTTACCGAGCAGCAGCCACCATGGCTGAGGAAGAAAGTGAGTGGATTTTGGAGAGCATCGTTGGCTACCTGGGGAGTCCCGAGTGGGTCATTCCTGTCTCGGACTTTATGGAAAACAAATGCACTGGTAAGGTATAAAAAAAAACTGCAATTTGTAGAGTTCTGGCTACCTCTTTGGAGATGTGTGGAACGTTAGTGCGGTGGCTAAGCTAAGGCTAACAATGTTTTGTTGACATTTTGTCAGGCTATGATACTTTGTACCGTTCACTAACTTTACACTTTTCTTAATAAACGTTTTTTGTGCAAGTTAATCAGACTTTAATAACATAAAGTCAATATGAAGCAACAAAGGACACAATTAGAGAATCATAACAGAAAAAGTAGTTAACTAGCTAGCAAAGTAGAAACCTCAGCTATCAAAAAGGTCATATATACTGAGGTGGGGGAAGTACTTTGATCTTCTACTTAAGTAAAATGTAGAAGTAACAGAGTGTAGGAATACTAACAAGTAAAAGTCCTGACATTGAAATGTTACTCAAGTAAGAGCACAAAAGTATTGGCCTTTAAAATATACTTAAAGTACCAAAAGTAAAAGTACTAATTTTGCAGATCCATTTCAGAACAATATATATTATATGTTTTGATTATACTTATTGACGCATTAATGTGTATTAAAGATGGTAAAGGTGCAGCTAATTTAAATGAATGAAAATTGTACTTAAGAACTTGAGTACATCTACTTAGTTACTTTACAACACTGCATATATACCAACTTGTCTTATTTATTGTAATGTATTCTCTGGACAGAATATTGATGTTGAATTGATATCATTTGTGTTTTTAATTTGTCTTTTTCTTAGTGTTTGATGACGAAGATGAGAATAAGTTATCATACACAGACATTCACCTGCAGTATAAGAAATTGGTGAGTACAGTCCTTGGCCCAGTTGTGTCAAATTACGTCATCAAAATTAACTCGTTAGTGGTTTTCTCTTGCTGACTCATTAAACTGGACTCACGTAAGCTGCTTTGTTTTGTAGGTGGAGACGCTGCTGGGGAATTACATGCAGGAGGTTGGCATCAACGAGCAGCAGTTTCTGGACGCATGCACCTCTCCTTTTGCCAAGACCAAAACCCTGCAGGTACTTTAAGCTCCCTGTTGAAACCCAGTCTGTGGCACACCCCGTCAGCCTGCCAGTGAACCTGATGGGAGGGAATGGGATTTGCCTTACATGACCACGGGTGTCCTGCTTATACCTGAAGCCATACATAATACTCATAATGTAATTTACTTTTACTCATAGGAAAACAATGGTGTGTCATTGCTATTTTCTAATGATTTACACACACACACACACACACACACACACACACACACACACACACACACACACACACACACACACACACACACACACACACACACACACACACACACACACACGAAATTGACCTACTTTAATTGGAAGGTGTTATTATAACGGAAGATACTTTTATCTATAGCCAAAATGAGCTCCTGCTAGGTTTACATAGTTTTATGATGGTATATGTTTTTTCGAGGATTCATGCACGCCACTGCAACCCTTTTGTTTAGTCAGTTGGAAAAATAACAGCTCCTCAGTTATTCATGTAAGGTTTGTTGTTAATTAACTTACAGTTTCGCAAAGTTGTAACTGTTCACCCAAAACAGGTTAAGCTAAATTGCCAACTGACATGATGTTTTAAAATGTGTTTTTGCACTTAAATAGCCATTTTAATATTGTACTTATATTAGTTTCAGATTGGCAGAGATCGGTACTTTATCATAATCCTCAGTAAAACTGGATATCATTCATTTCCACTAAATTAATACAAACCAGGTTAGAGTCTCCCAAAACAGAGATTAACTTTACCAGAAGTTATACATTGAGCAGTCTAATGCAGTCATACCAACAGTAGTAAGTAGAAACAGCTATACTGTAGGTTTGGGATTCAGAACGTGGAGACCTGTTAACTAGAATCTCTGAACTTGTATTTAATGTTGTTTGGAAACATTTGCCTAGCATTAGCCTACATGGTGGACAGACCCTTGAATAAAGACAGGAAGCTTGTGTGATAGATTAGGCCTAAGTACTATTTTGTTTGCAAACATAGCTTGCTTAGTCAAAAGTATCCCATGCTGAAAGAACTGAACATCCTGTACTGATCCACAGGGGTTAACAGGCAATGATGATCTCATAGGAACATTGACCCAGCTGTCGCTAAAAAATAAACCCCAATGGAGAATGTGTTTTATGTATAGCCAGTCAGCAATAGCATTTTCAAATGCGTCAATATCTCGATGTATTTGCTGTAAAGTGTCTCTTGAGCAGAGAGTAGCTATGCAAGAGGAGGTTAGCCTTCATGATACTTTTTACACCAGCTAGCTAGCTAGTGGTTATGCCATTTATACTTCGTTGTCTTTTTGCGACAGTTATTTCTCATGGTCTTCTATGTGTATTTTATTTGTTGTACAGTTGGTGTTCCAGCCCGTTCTTGCTACAGATGACTTCCAGATGTTTCGCTCACTGATGACCCAGAAGAACACGGAGCTGCAGCTTCAAGCCCTCAGTGTCATCAAAGAAATGAACGGTAGGCTGGATTAACACACACTCTCAGACAGGAAATCACTCCTGATGAAGCCCCCGCTAACATGCCTGCTGTGTGTAGGGGCCCTCCCAGAGTGTCTGACCGACGGAGTGGACGTGATGACGGAGCTGCAGGATCAGGAGATGAAAATCCTGCAGGAGGTTCTCAAGTAAGTCCCATATTCTTATTTTCTCTTCTACTCTCTGTCTCACTCTGGTTATCTTTCTTCCTCTGCCCCCTTTAGCATTATCATATTTTAAGTTCTTGCAGTGGCTAAGAGTTTCATTTCAGGAAAACACAAACAACTGTAAATCTAGAAACTAGGATTTGAATGTATTAAATATCCTGACCTCAATGATGGACAAAGTTAGCATGCATGAGCGATAGATTCAAAGGTAGAATCAATCATTTATTATTATCCTTGTTACAATATGTAAAAGTATGTTTTTAAATGAGTGTTATGTGTGAATGAGCTCTTCATATCTACATATAGATGTGGGAGTCTGCCATGTTGGACCTTTAAGTTTCTACAATCAACCTAGATGCAGGCTTTTTGCAGGGCTTTTCGTGTTTTTAAATGACCTGAAAGCCACCTCTTTTTCTGAAAAATAAATCCTACATACTGTCCCTTTTTATTTCTGAAATAAAGCACAAAAATTATTCTTATGTAAAAAG